CCAGCAGATGGGACCAGTAGTTTAACTTTGCCAAACAAAATTCATACTAACACTTGACGACAAATTGTAAGACCCAGACAAACAAAGTATAATTACTCATTCACAAAACACCAACAAATTACTCTGACTTCACCTGAGCCCCAAAACAGAACAATCGAACAAACAAAGTACTGTCGCTCTAGTGTTACTCAAAATAGCAGACGCGGAGAGAACACTGACACTATGTTGTACCATTAGGCGTAAAACACATGATTTTCTTCAATCCCTCCAGACAAATGCCAAGATAAGACATCAGATCAGACCGCAACATAATCAACCAGAACCCATGCATAGATAACTGTGATTTTATTGTAGCATTAAACATAACTCAGGATCACAAAATTCTTGGAATTTATCCATCTTCTACTAGCCAAAATAACACGTTAAGCGACTGGATCTTTCGGTCCTCGGGTGAAATGAGATGGGACACCTACACAGCTGGGTCCATTATAAACAGCTAACCTAAGTCACTGGACCAGGGACTAACCACATCCAGTTTAAAAAAACCGTTGTGTTATTCTGAATACCAGACGATAGACAAGTCTAAGACTTTGGTAATCCCAAGTATAACACACGACTGTCATAACCTCTTAAAATTTGATTAAACAGATATCTTGAACAAAGGTCCTGAGGAAATTAGGTGGGAAGTCGGGGACTGATTAATCTGGCAGTTTTTTTATTAACATGGTAATGGATTTTCAGGTTCCTTAAATGGCAGGAAATTTGGTAGCTAGCTCAGAAATTATCAGCTTCTCAAAAATGACTCTGCTCTGCTTAACTAGTTCTTAACCTGTGTGCATCACTGTTTTCTCTTCAGATACTTTATCAGCAAACCAAACTCCATAAAGCACAGCCCTTCTTCTTACACGGCTGCTAGCCCGAGAAGAATTCGTTACACACCCCTTCTGTAGCTAACAAGTCCTCAGACAATCAAGGAATTCCATCTGTTACATGTCCCACACATTCATATATGTGCTCACAAGAGCCCACCATTTCTCCCAATCCTCAACGAGATGAATCTCCTACACATGTGCTGTATGTCCCGTCTATGACACTGTCCCTCATCTGATCACCCTGATGATATCAGCAATACAGTACAAATTATGAATCTCCACATTGTGCAGCTTTCTCCATCCTCCTGTCACATCTCTTCCTCTTAGATCCAAACTATTCTCCTCAACACCCTGTTCTCAAGCAATCCTCCCTCAATCTGTGTTCTCCCTTGAGCGGGAGACTGTATTTGACTCAACAAGTTTCAACAGTACCAAGTCAAAACACTGCAAAACTCAGGTCAAAGAATGTATGTGGGGTATTACTATAATCTCCAACTTACATGGACTTCTCATTATTTTGAAGAGAATAACATGTAACATACTTTAACCTCTAAAATGTCATGAATGGAAACCATACAAGTAAAACAAATCAAACAGAAAACAGATATTTTTATAACAAATGAAATATACCATCATAAACAAGGCACAGCAGTCTCTTGGCAAGATGGTATTCATTATTACCATGGTAAAGGAAAACACTGGTGCTACCAAAACAATCAGGTGTCCCAATGTTAATTAATATCGAGACCCACATGTGGTCAATGTTTACATGTTTCCCACAAAACTCATTTACAAACTCCAGGGTAAAACAAAGTTATGGGTTAATAACATATGCATTTCTGGGCAAACTATGCTGAATCCCTGTTATTAGCAAGAATGAAAACCATACTCTTTTTTAAGTAACCATATTTTTCTGCTGTTTATTAGAAGAGAACATACCTGTATTTTTCCTTCCAACTTCCACTCCAGTTTGTATCAAGTAATTCACAACATTGAACCATTTTCACTTTCAAAGCAACCACAGAAATCAATTCCTCATTACACAACATTCATAATTCTATCACTAATTCGTCTTCTAGCCGCCATTTCGGTCGTCAGAGATTTCATTTGTTCCCTAAGACGATCAAATGTTGGAAGATATTCCCACTCAATTTGTCTTGATTATGTAGTTCAGGTGAAATGCCACCAGATGCCGCAAGTTTCACATCCGTCAAAAATCATCAAGGGCTCTATATAACGTACGAATTAAATCTCTTTACAGATGGCGAATGCATGTTGGTGGTATCTGTTCTGTAAATTGATCGAACTTCTAGATACGGTAAGTTCTAATCTTCTTGTGTTTTTGTAACAAATACCACATCACAAATATTTATTCTTGTAATTACTTTACTTGCTCTGTCATGTTTATTCAGTCACAAGTTGAATTGCCTGTATCTGAATTCTATATCAATATTGTTATTGAAAGGACATCAAAGACAGAACTTTTAAAGAGGAAAGCTCTTGCAACAGATATGAATTCTGAACCTGGAATACACAAATAAGGCTCTGTAGAACAAGTTTTATAAGAATATAATATTTGAAAAGATATATATTTGTTTACTCGACACGATACCTAGCGGAAGACTTGAACACTACTTACATAATCGCCAGCATATCAGCCACAGTGATTCGGTCGCTTTAGCCCCACTCATAATCCCACGAGAAATAAAATTATCTTGGGTGTATCGTGTCATAATTCCACGTGCAAGTGTGATTGGTCCAACATTAAACATTTTTCACCATACGGTATTTATTTGATATCATTAATTAAAACTATGTAGAAAAATAACCGCCATCACGGCAGTGGATTTTAATACTACAGCGTTCCGTCCTCGCTGGCTCTGTCGACGTAATGACAATTATTTACATCTGGGTTTACAAATTTTTTATATGAAGACGTCACGACGATCTGAGTTTAGCCCAAACCAGTCCTGCAGACTTTAAGACTGTCTTCGGCGCAATCATTATTAATTTCAAGGGGGAACCCTCCTTCTATTCGTCTATTACGTAATTTTATCTCCTAATGTTTTTCTGATCTTAAAGTCTGTGCCATAGCTCGAAGAAAATATCGAATTTTAATTCCTTGTAAGTGATTAACGTAATCATTGCAGTTTATTGTGAGAAAAAGACGAGCTAATGAAACTACTTCCTTGTGGTTGAAATGTCGGATGTTTTGCTTAAGATGTAAGCTGTTACGAGAGACCTTGAAATAAGATAAAACGTTTTGTGGCGGTTCTTAAAAGGCTGTGGAATCTGCGTTTAATGCAAGCAGAAATTCTTTCGTGACTCTGGACTATGTGACGTGAAGACCGACTGTCTATAAATTAAGTCTCCCAACACTGCGATAAAAGAATAATCGGTCTGTACAGGTGTTCTTTGTGCTGAGGAAGAAGAACTCGCAGATCTCACCCCTGCATCTGTGGCATCACACGCTTATGCCTATCTGTGCCTGGATTGGCGTCAAGTTCCTACCGGGTGAGTTAATTTTCAGTAGCACACGACAGCAATCCATGTACATTAAAGACATGATTTGTTTACTTGGGTCCTAATCCCTCTTTAGAATAACTGTTTGTACGAAGTGTAATAATATTCTAACAACACTCCCTTGGAATGCAAATTTATCCAGTCTCGTGCAAATTAATTTATCTAAAATTCTCAATCATTCTCCAGATACGGAGGCTTTAACTTACACTTTTGGTTATCTGTAATAACCGAAATCATTCATAGGAAAATGTAAGACACATTCCATAAATGTTTATAATCTGCATTTTTTCTGTATAGTTAATGACAAATTAAGAGACCAACAGTATCAACATGTTATTAACCCTTTGAAGAACGAAGGTTATTTATACAAAACTTAAAATTCTGTTCGTACCTCTAAGAAAACACAACCCATCCCCCCCCTGTAAAGATCAAAACACATAAATACATTCTGTGGGAAAAATTCAAGACTTACAGATCGTTGAAAAGCCGCATCGTTACGAGTACCCCCGATGACAAGAAAAAGTGCCTGATACTAAATTCAGACCAAGGGTACGATTTCTGCCCGATCATGACGCAATGACTCGACGTTTTAAAATTATCCAAATGACTAGTGGAATAAACATGAATTTTAACACAAGCAAGGTCTTGCCGGAAGCGAGCAGTCGGTTCAATGTTACACCATTCCATCATCAAAATAAAATCGAACCGCACAACTGGAGGCAGACGACATTTTCTTTTCGTATTAAAAGCGGAAATGCGAATTAAGATACTTACAGAGATCGGCACACACGTTAGAAAAGTGAATCGGTTGCTGAAGTCACTCTTGTAGCTCGATCAAGACGATGGTGGCCGTCTTTTGGGTCATGGTCTGGTAGAAATTTACCCCTCTTCGTCCTGATGATGAAGGCAGCAAGTACTGCTCTACTGAAACGTTGGTAAACATCTACCAGACTACACGGCCGACTTCATAGGGCACTTGAACTGCGCCGTGCTCCTGAAAAAAATCATCTGTTTAGTCTGTATTTTCTGGCATCAATTTATTTTCGAATCTAAAACTTCTTGACGATGGTGAAGAGTCAATTGAATAAAAATTTACTTGGATATTATCCATCGTCTAGTAATAAAACGTAAAAAACGTAAAACGACGTTTCGGAGATGGGGCTCTATCTCCGTCTTCAGGTTCCTACTCAGTTGGTCCGGAGATAGGGATTAGCTCTATCTAGTGGGCCCGACTGTGTAGGAACCTGAAGATGGAGATAGAGCCCCATCTCCGAAACGTCGTTTTACGTTTTTTACGTTTTATTACTAGACGATGGATAATATCCAAGTAAATTTTTATTCAATTTATTTTCGCCTTTGTCGAAATTTGTTGATTATTTGTGTAGACGTCTCTTACAGCAAAAACGCCTTATTATTTTTTACAGGGGGCCACGGAACCCTTCTCGGGGTCATAAACTCCTTTGTTCACATCATCATGTACTCCTATTACCTTCTGGCAGCCCTTGGACCGGAAGTACAGAAACACCTCTGGTGGAAGAAGTATTTAACATCTCTGCAGATAGTAAGTGTCCTCCGTCCATAAAAAGAATTCTAACTCCACTAACAGACACTCTTAAGTCCTTACCTTACACGGCTGGTAACTCGAAAACAATTCTCTATTCAGTTCCGAGGACTCTTTCTTCTAGAATTGCACTCTGAACTATCAATAACCTTTGTCCCACGTGACGTTCGCTCTGTTCCGTCTTCCAGATCCAGTTCGCGATCGTGTTACTGCATTCGTGCCAGCCCTTCATATACGAGTGCAACTATCCCAAGTTCATCGTGTTTCTGCTAATGATCAACTCGATCAACTTCCTCTACCTCTTCGGGACTTTCTACAAGAGAACCTACAACACCAAGAAGCAAGCGTAGTCCAGGACAATGGGCATAACCTCTCTATCGGTGCAACTGTCCCTGATTTCAACGAGCGCAACAGAGCGTAGTGCAAGATGATCGCGGATGCGATGTCTGAGCAGTGTAGATCATAATTAGTATTAATTATCAAACACGTGGCCGTGAAGACATTTCAGAGACCGATTAGAATTAGCAGAATCAGGTTATAACAGCGTTCGACCCACTTTCCTATAAAAGGACCAGTTGGAGCAACACCTGATTATTACCTACAAAAAATAAGAGACGTAAGACTGGAATATTTATTTGACAACTGAAATAAGACAGACAGAAGAGAAGGGGGGGGGGGGGGATTTTTGATTTACG